CTTCTTTGTGGCAACTCCTGAGATATTGGAACACTGCCTTCATGTCACACACACCCAGTCCTTCTCTTCATTAAACTAGACATACCCAATTCCAGCAACCGTTCTTTATATGTTTTAGCCTCTAGTCCTCTGATCATCTTTGTTGCTCTTCTTTGCACTCTTTCTAGTCTCAACATCTTTTTTACATCATGGTGACAAAAACTGGATGCAGTATTCCTAGTGTGGCCTTACCAAGGCCTTATAAAGTGGTATTAACACTTCATGTGATCTTGATTCTAATCCTCTGTTAATGCAGCCTAAAATTGCATCCAAGAACAGTATACATTATTTTTTCCCCTAAACCCTCTTTACCTTTAAAATAATTTCTAAAGCAAATTCTCCTTCTTCAAATGGAGTGAGAGCAAGTAGAAAACCAGAGTGTGTGAGTGAATGCATTGTGTATCTCTTCCACTGAAAGGAGAACCCGTTTTCACTCCAAAGTACATTATTATGTTTTGTGTGTGTGTGTGTGCTGGAAAAGAAAATACAGCTCTGAGTAGAGTCTCTAAACAGAAAATTGCTTCATTACAGTCATGATTCATACTGACTTCTGGAGACAAGGGGGGGAAAGAGCTTTGAGTAAAGTTGGCAGAGAAGAGGAAGGAAGGAAAACAATTATCTTAAATTGTGAATAAGCTTTTTGAGTGACAAGATTGCTTGATATGGAAAATTGGCGTAGAGAAGTTTTCATGCCTCTCCTTTGCTGATTCACTTTTCGAAACGAAGACAAGCCATTGGGAAACAGATCCCTTAAATGAATGATAAGGGATTGTAATTTCACCAGTAGAAATACAAAATTCTCAAGTATGAGAAATTGAACACTGGGGCCACCACTTACCTCAAAAGGTGATAGGTTACCCTTGATTAGATGGGCTCAAGGAGATGCTAGGTAGATATTTTTCCAAGATTCTTTCAATTGGATTCCAGCAGTGACGACGGGATGCTGGCTTAAATAATCCTTTCCAGCAGGACAATTCCACAATTCTATAAACAGACAAAATTCTACAACAGACAAAAATAGCACAATCAAACTTTCAGAGCACCAGGGACTCCAGAGACTAAAATAGTTCAGATGTTCCATACTTTATTTATTTGCTTATTTTACCTGGTATTAGGAATATTTTTTATGATATCAAAAGGAATTGCTGGACCATGTAATCAACAAAATGTACAGAAAGAATCAAGACTCTTGTTTGTGGGATCCTTGGCAGTCTCTGAGCTTAGTTGTTTTCTTGCAGATGTTTCCTTACCCAACTAGTAACATCATCAGTGTTAGAAGGCAGTGAGGTTTGCTCTCTGTTTACATACAATGTAATGTAATGTGGGTAGGAAACTGGTTCCTTGATTCCTTGTACATAAACAGAAGGCAGATCCCATTCCCGTCTAGCCTTGATGAAGTTACCTGGTTGGGTAATGAAGCATCTGCAAGAAAACAATCAAGCTCAGACACCACCATAAAGGACCCCATAAACAAGAGTCTTGATTCTTTCTGTACATTTTGTAGACTACATGGTCCAGCAATTCCTTTTGATATCATAAAAACATTCCTAATACCAGGCAAAAATAAGCAAATAAAGTATGGAATGGGGTACATCTGAACCCCATTCAGATGGGGTACATCTGAATCCCTAGCTACCAATATTCTCTTCTGTTTGGATTCTTGTTTATTCCTAAGCCTTAAGCATATTCATTTCAAGAATGCATCTGAGCCAAATTAATTCATATTGCTGTGTTTTTTTTTCCAAAGTTCACAAAAACATTGAATTGCTGACATGTCCACTCCTTCCTGCATTTTCAATTTGCCTTCCTCACCTGCCTTTGTGATGTCACAATGCAGCCAAGCTAATTAGTTTCCTAGTGGTATTGTATCATCCCATCCACTGTTTGTGATTTGAAATTGGCTGCTATTACCCCTGAGATTAAAGCAAAACAGAGATTGAAGCAACAGTTAGAGAAGAAAACACCAGTAAAATAGCACCATCCTAGGGAAGCAATTTTTGCCTTTTATATTTTTATATTTAAGGTAGACTTCAGAAAATCTGTATAGGTGACTATTCAGTGCAGCCTTGTCTAAGGACAATTTTCTACAATATAATTTAGATTTAAAGAAAAGCAGATGGGAAATAAGATTTATTATTTAGGTGGCCAACGTTTGGTGAATGTCACCTCTATTTGGCCCTTTTCTGTACTTACGTTATGAGATTAAATTACTTATTTTTTGTTAACTGAACTGAACCTCTTTTAGGACTTACACTGCAGTGATTGCGTCTTTTTGAAATAAGCAGAAAGTGGGGGGGGGAGCAAACTGGACGTTTTGGTTGGAGGGACAAAAAAAAGGAGATGGAAAATCACATTTTATCTTAGCAGCTCAGATTCCTACTACTGGTTTAGACAACAAATAGTTTCATTAAAAAAAAACTTTATGTACTGCTTAAAATTCTAAATGTCTGTTCAACTGACATGTTTCACTGAAAATCAATTATCTGTGAACTAGCCTGATAGCCACCAAGAGAAGTAAATCAGAACTTAGATATCATGGGGAAAAAGGACTTCTTTGTCTTCTTTCATTATTGACAATTTGCTAAGCTGTAATATGGCTTATTGATTGGGAGTATTGTATGGTGTCAAGCCAGAAAGATAGATGGTAAATAGATAGATAGATAGATAGATAGATAGATAGATAGATAGATAGATAGATAGATAGATAGATAGATAGATAGATAGATAGATAGATAGATAGATAGATAGATAGATTTTATGAACTATTTTTTTTTTACAATTTAGCTTAGGGCCCATGATCCTTTTCCAAAGTTGATGACCAGCCACCTGAAGTGCAGGTTCTCATCTTCTCAACAGCTTTTCTTCTCCATAATTCAGAGCCCCCCAAATCCAGGCTGCATTAGATGGAAAGAGAAGTCCAACCAAGCTTCTCTTGAATCCAGCTTGACTCTTGGGTGACTTCATGAACACGTCCATGTTGTTTCCTTGGCTACAAATAAGTAGTTTGATTTAGAATTTCTTAGTCTCTTCCATCTAAGTACTACAAGGCCCAATCTTGTTTAGTCTTTGGAGATTAAATTAAGTCAAATCCTGCTTTTTAAAAAATGGAGGGGACCCACTTTTAGACATTGGATTTGTTTGTTCACATGGTGTTCTCTAGGGTTACGTTTCTCAATTGTTTTCAGATTTTGTTTTTCCCACAAATTTGAGAGAGTCTGCTGGCATATGACTTTCCTCTGGAGTACTTTCCATTTTCCACACTAAGCACCGCTTAATTGGGAGACATTGCTTCTGAAAAGGATTTGATGGGTTGTTATTCTTTTGTCAGCAACATCATTTCTTTTTGCTAGCAAAGGAACCTATTAGGTGGAAGATGGATGGAGGGCTACTGGAGAAGACCTCATCAGATCCATGCCAAAATGCTCAGATACTTCTGATGCAACTGAAATGGTCAACCAATTTGAAATTCCCTGACAGGTGTGTCAAAAAAACCTCCAATCCACCAGCTACAATGGTGGAATTGAAGCTATGGGTCACAGCTTCGACTCTACTGTTGTAACACCCATATTGAGTTTGGACCATACAGAAAAGCAGGCAGAATAAATGCTATTTTTAGGAGCATTTTTCTCTCAATCTCCCTGCCCCGAGTTTATTTCTGAAACATAACCTCAGAAAAGATCCATATGTGTAGCATTTCTGGTTTTTAGCCAGGCAACTAGAGTTGAGAAAAAGACAATTTAAAATGCCTTTTGGTATCACTTCCTCTAGCAAGCTCTAGTTTATCTGAGAGCCTTTTTCTAAAAAAAAAAAAATCAGGACAAATTAGAACAAGGTATCTTTTCTGAGACTCCGACAGATGTTAGGATTTTATACATGGTGATTAAGCCATACCTGCATCTGAGAGTTTTCATGAAAAACAACAATAACCCAGCATCAGTGAGGGGAAAAAAGACAATTGCAGGGACGTTTCATGTGAAACAATGGAATTTAATTGGGGCAGTGGGTTCAGAGGTATTCAGAAGATTGCATTTCTTCTCCATGTTATTAAGGATGATTTAGGGTTTTTTTAGCTCCCTGTTTATGCCACCACCGTGGCTGGAAGCACAGTCTACAGCCCATGGCAATGTCTGAACCTCACCAAATGTGATGTATTCCAGGCTTAAGTCAGGGTGCGAGCCCACTTCCAAAGTTCAGTAACAGGATGTTTCCATAGAAATCCATAAATACCTGCATCCTTTTGCTCAGCATCCAGAATCAGGTTTGGTCTAGTCAGACAACCTCAGATAACTTTCTTCCAAATGCTTTGAGAGAAACAGGAGGATTATTTTATTTTATTTTATTTTTTTAGTTCTTGTTAAAAGCAGCCTTAGAATGTCATGCAAACCTAGCTCAGGGTGGCTTACTCCATGAACCATGAGTCGTTCAATATGGATCCACTTTGCATGAGTGAGCAAAGTGGAGGGTTGTAAACCCCGGCTTATGTTTTGTGCAAGCCTAATCATTGTAGCTTGCAGAACAAACCATGGCTCCTGGCAGCGTGCCAACCCTAAGCCTCCT